AAAGAGATCTGAAACTACATACTGAATTATCATATTTCTAAGATTATTATCCTAGAATAAATAACATCACCATGTATTCTAGTAAAACTAGTGATCTTTAAAGGAAAAAACCCTTTCTTTCAATTGCTTCTTATCAAAATAAGCATATGACTCTCACGGAAAAAAAAAAAATCTTCAGACTTTGACATCTATGCCAAAAGAAACATATTTAAGATCTACTAGAAAAGATAATGTGGACCAATGATTCTATCAAAAGCAGTTTTAAAGAATAAAGTGCACAGCAGTTATCAGCATGTAAGAACTCAAGAAGCCAATCTTCTTATTCCTTTGCACCGTTATTGACAGTCTAGACAACAGGCTTCAAAGTCACAAAGAATAGAGAGGCTGGTGGGACTAACACTGAATGAGGGTCAAAAGACAGAGACTTTGGAATGGCTATAAACATGGGTGAAGCACAAAAAAAAAGTGGTTTTTAGTAACCACATGGCAGTTGTTATTTGTGTGTGCTCACACATCTGTGTAATGTGTAACAGGTTTTAAAAAAGGATATTCTATTTCTGTGATCCTTATATTCTTGAGAATCAATAATCTCCATTTGAAGGAAAAAAGACATAACTGTAATATAGGAAAGATTAAGTAAGCATCAGTAGCTCTGAATCTCAATGTATCAGTATGAACTCAGAAGGCATTTTGGCTTTAAATCAATATATTAATCCATGCCCCTCCCCTCCCCCCAACTCATTTTCATTCTCCCTCCCCACTCTTCTCTCTCTCTGTAGCTAGGTCCACTACAAAATAGCCTAGAAAGATCAAATCAATAGTGAGTAAGCATCTCTAACACCCTGATTGTGGCTGAAAAAATCAACTTTCTCAATAGAAGAAGCCAGCAAATTTGAGGGGAGATGGCTAGCCAACTGCCTAGTGAAAGAAGTATATGTACATAAGCCAGAAACGACATAATGTATAAGACAGCAAAAAAGGTATCAAAGATTAGCAGCCTCATGTCAGAAGAACCCAGGAACAATCTCAAAGAGACTACCATCTTGAAGAGACTATTAGCCAAAATGAAGCAATATACCATATAATAACTCCACAGACAAAACTCAGAGATTCAAACCTAAGAGTTTATATGGATAATTTTAAATGAAGTTAACTGGTCAAGTTTGTAGTATGATAGGGGTAGCAATTCATTCAACTGAAAACTAGTTAATAAAAAGTGAATGGAGAATTGGGTGGCATACACTTTGGAGGAAGAGGTAGGTGGATTTCTATGAGTTTGAGACAGCCTGGTTTACAAGGTGAGTGCAAGACATCCAGGGCTGCTACACAGAGAATTCCTGTCTTAAAACCCCATCCCCGGCCGGGCGGTGGTGGCGCACGCCTTTAATCCCAGCACTCGGGAGGCAGAGCCAGGTGGATCTCTGTGAGTTCGAGGCCAGCCTGGGCTACCAAGTGAGATCCAGGACAGGCGCAAAGCTACACAGAGAAACCCTGTCTCAAAAAACCAAAAAAAAAAAAAAAAAAACCCCATCCCCAAAAGAAGTGAATGGGAGAATCGAGCATTTATTCTGCTTTTTCTATATAAACTAGCAGAACAATCAGTTGATAAAGGAAGCAATTCTCTAAAAAGTATTCCAACTAATAACTGGAGAAGAGAAAAAATAGAATTAGAATATCATATAACCACCAATACCCCAAAAAAGGGGATATGAACACATAGATTAAGAGATTTTAAAGACAAATTTAAGTGGGAAAAATTGAACTAGAGTCTAGGCACACACATGTGGCAACACAACTACAAAAAACTGCAAGGAAGTTAGAGTCAACATAGTGCTTCCGTTGTGAAGGAGAAAACAAGTTAACGACCAGAATGTGAAAGGACTTGTGCATTTTTAGTGCGTGCATGCATGCATGTTGGCATGCATTATGACACTCAAGTAGAGGCCAGAGAACAACTTGAGGAAGTCTGTTTCTTACTTCTACCACGTGGTACCTGGAGATTACACTCAAGCTGTCAGGTTCGGCGGTAAGTGACTTTAGCCTCTGAGCAATCTCACAGTTTAAAATTCTATTTTTTCTTTTTTTAAGCCTGGGTACTGATTAGAAGGGTATTTATTTTAGAACAATTCATTCAGGCACAGAATTGTTTATATGTCTTTCAGAATTTGTTTTACTCAATAATTCTTTTTCAACAAAAGTTTCCAGTACATGATCCAAAACTTAAATGAAGGGGATACACTGAAAAGTATCTCTTTCGACTAAACACTGAGTTCCACTCTCCAGAGGCAACCACTGGCACCATTTTTCCTTTAGAGCTTTTCTAGAGATTACGCGATAACATGTTATAACAAAGTCATTTTTAATGCAAAGCTATGAAGATTACATACCTCTTCAAAAAGACATAATGCTGCCTCATAGAGTGAACATAAGCCTTCAGATGTTCTAGTTGGTTCTCTCCACTGGCTCCGATCAGCAGACGAACCCTGTAATTAAACATTGCAGGGTACGATATGGAAAGGAAGCAGACATAAATGTTAAAAAGCAATACTCTACAAAAATCTATTTGAAAAGCTGTTTATAAGTTTAGGTGTATTGTTACCAAATCCTAATATTAGGCCATGAAACCAACTAAAAGTGTTACCAAAACCTATTGAGTCAAATGATCAATTAAGCACCAATCCCTAACTGCCTCATTAAATAGTGAGAAAGCCTTATAAATAAAACACAGGATTTGTCTTCAGAACAAATGCAGAATCTTGAAGATAGCAGTCTACTTTTCAGTGGTATCCTTGACTAAGAAGGATATTTGACAGAGTATGTGACCTTGGGGAGGAGGAGGAGTGATTTCTGACTAGGTACACCTGCTATTTGTCCAGGAATGACAGGACAAGTAGACAAAAATTAGAAAGCCAGCAATAAAGTTAATCTGTTACATTTTACAGCTACTATAAGAGAGTCATTTGTGGGAAAAGTTTAACAATTTAACAGATGCAGGTTAAAAATTATATAATGCAGTCAGAAAAAAATATGAGTTTCAAAGATAGATTCAAAGATATAAGAATTGCTTAACACAGTACGTGGCCCAGGAGTCTGTGTTATATTATGATAGTCAATAGATGTATAAATCCAGGCTAACACAGTTGCTTTACACCTTCAAGATTAAGGTAAATAATATCTTACTTCACAGATTAACATGACAATTGAAAAAGAATATGCAAAGCACCTGATAGAAAACAGGCACTAAAATTAGTTTACTTCCTCCTTACTCCAAGTAGTGAGGAGCAGTGAATCAAAGAAGCTGAAAGGCATAGAGTAAAATATTATTAAATAAAGAACAAAAGAACAAAACACATTATATACAAAGTCATATATATATATACACACACACACACACACACACACACACACACACACACACACACAAAATAACGATTCCTTGAGCTTATAGAGCCAATTTAAGTATCAAATCAGTTTGTGAATATATAAGCAAACTTATGCCCAGCAGGTATTAGATCCTGCAGTAATCCCAAGCACAGGGTGCAAGGGTAAGGAGATGAGGCAATGAAACTCAACAATGTTCTTAGATCACAGATCTTCTAGCTGCCTCTCTCCCCCATACATCAAGCCAAGCTCTCCTGCAGCCTAGTTCCAGGTCCCTGGCAGTCCTATGCCACCGATTTGCAGCTTTAAGCAAGACTAACTAACCCCTACACATATATACACACCTATATATGCAAGATAAATTTATGGTGCCACACAGTACCTGACCTTACAGACTAAGCCAGACTAAATCATGTGGTGTATAAGTTTTTATAAGTTTCTAATTGGTAACACTCCTTACCAATTAGAAACTTATAAAAGTTAGAAACCCATGTTGTGTGGGTTCAAAGCATATTCTCATTCTCATTTTCTCTTTCATTCTCATTCTCCCCTCTCTCTCTCTCTCTCTCTCTCTCTCTCTCTCTCTCTCTCTCTCTCTCTCTCTCTCTCTCTCTCTCTCTCTCCCCCCCAATCCTCTATTCCCCCTCCCAATTCTGAAGGGAAATTTTGTGTCAGCTTCCTTCCTGAACCTGCTCTATCTGACGTGCATGTCTATTATAACAAATAGACATTGTAAAGAACAGTCTAAAGGCCTAGGGTACTCCTTTCCTTCTAAGGGAAAGGTGAAGAGGTCTCTTACTAATTTTGTTCTAGAAGGAAGTACACCATGGCAAGTATATAATTATATAGTCATGGTGTCTAATAATACCTTTTCCCCTCTTTGGTAACAAAAGCAATACAAAATGCACAGCTTATAAGAAGAATTGAGTGACTTTTCACAGGAATATTAAGATGAGCAGATGAACAGTATTTCAGATTTGAAAGGAGCAAACTCTTAAAGTATGAAAAATACAATGAGAAAAACAGATTTCCAAGTAAGAGGTGCAATAGTGACTAAGAAAACACATAGAGCTTAAGTGCTTCCCACAGCTGTTACCTGAAGACTTTTGTATTTAGATTACAACCTAAAGCTCTAGGTTTTAACCACAATTTAAGATTATAGACCTATGTCAATACTCTGTATTCCAACAAAGCACTACATATTTTTATTTTTATTTAGCATTTAGGTTCAAATTTTCATAGATTCTGTCATCTAAAATCTTTAAGTACTTATCTGTAACATTACTTTTTAAATGAAAATTTTTTTAAAAGAAAATTAATGATAAAGAGATGCAATATTTACAGTTCAGTTTACAAATACAAAACATACAGTAGATGAAAAGTTAAATGTTTCTGATTTGAATGTGACTGTTTTAATGAAATATTTTATTAATCAAAAGCTTTGCATTTTACTTGGTGGAGGGAAAGGTTTAGAATATGTATAATATAACAAGTAGCATTTTTAGTGAATTTTAAATATATTCGTTAGGTTATATTGGCCAATAAAGGAAACATGAACCTCTTTCTCTCTCTCTCCTCTCTCTCTCTCTCTCTCTCTCTCTCTCTCCCCCTCTCTCTCCCATCCTTCCCTCCCCCTCCTTCCCTCTCACACACACAAAAAGGCACCTATATATCACTGTGAATTCAAGGCCAGCCTGGTCTATACAGAGAATTCCAGGACAGCCAGAGATATACAGTGAGACCATTTCAAACACACACACACACACACACCAAAAAGCAAAAACAAACAATAAAAACCTGATCAACTTAACCTAACTGTAGTTAGACCTAACTAAGTCAGTTTATAAGCATTTGAGCCTTAACACTTTAAAATTCAAATTTTATTCTTGGATTTCAAAGTTATTACATTCAGTCTTGCATATTCTTAAAATTTATCACACATATCTTTATTCTTTAATATGATATCCAAGGTTATGGTGGTGAAGGGATTCACTTCTATGGACAACAAACTCTTCACACTTTTACTTAGCTCATTACTTCTCTTTATCCAGGTCTCTGCTCAGAGGTCACAACTCAAAAGTCCCTCCCTGACCACATTAACTAAAACAGCATACCTTTTCCCTCTCAACCTACCATTCTCTCTTTTCCTCTTAAAATGTCTCACCTGAAATTATGAATTTTTTCATGACTTATTTACTTTTATTTTATATGTACAGGTATTTTGCCTGCAAGTATGTCTGTGCACCATGTGCATGCAGTGCCTGTAGAGACCAGAAGAGGGTGCTGGATCTCACGGAACTAAAGGTACAGATGGTTGTTAGCCACTATGTGGGTGCTGGGACCTGAACCTAGGTCCTCTGCAAGAGCAACAAACTCCTAACTGCTGGGCCATCTCTCCAGCCCCTAAATTTATGTGTTTCTTTCCTGATAAGCCTAGCAAGACATGAACTTTGTAGGAGCAGAAACTATTTCTGAGGCTGTACCCTCAGGTCCTAGAATAATATTTGACACACAGTACATAATTTTTAAAAACTGGAAAAGGCCTGGAATGGTGGTGCACACTTATAATTGCAGTACTTGGGAGACAAAGGCAGAAGGATCAGGAATTCAGGGACAGTCACAGTCACAGCAAGTTCAAGGCCAGACTGCAAAAAAAAATGTAAAGGATGAAATTGGAGATGCTATCAAAAAATTGCCATACTCACTAGCCTAGGCCTCTCATTTTACACCTGAACTTACTAAACACAAGGAAGTTAGGTAAATTCTCCAAATCCACTAAAATAAGCTAACATTTAAACTATAAACTTGGCTTCTGACCCAGGGGCCTTCACTGTAGAAATTCTCCTATCCCTATAGATCAAAATGTGCAAGTTTCTCCCCACAGAGCATAAAAAATATTTAACCAACTTAACATAGCAAAAGAACACCCAAATCATTTACAAGAGCCACAAACTCATTAAAAGCTTTGGTTGACTAGCCAGCAATTTGTCAAAGTTGATACTTGGGGTACATACCAATGAACGCCTCATCTGCATTAATATAGCCATAAAGCAGTCAAAGCTGATCATTCCTTCCTGGCTTGATAGTAGTTTGTTTTTCTCCATAGTATGTACAACTGCTGAAGCCCCCAAAGCCATTTCTATCCACTCAAGAAGATATCTCAAAGAGCCTCTCTGAGCTGCTAAGCCAAGCAGCAACTCAGAAGCTAATCTACGACCTAAAGTATCTGCCCCAGAATTGGGAATAGTTACTCCTTTAAGAAATGTTGTGACTTGTGATAAGCAGTCCAAGCCCATAGGAGGAATCTTGCTTTCGTTTGCTAAAGACAAGGGAGGCAAAGAGCTCACAACTTCAATTGCAGTATGAATAACGTCGTTGCAGAGACTGAGACCAGGTCCCGACACAGGCATCATCCAACTCTGTCTCAGAAGTGCAAATAATAAACTTAGACCGGTTCGGACACCCATTTCTATAAGTGCATCAGTGCTCGACCGGGGCCGTTCGCTGACAGAATGGACGTCTGCTGAACCAGAGCTGCTCTCCGGAGAATGCTGCTGCTGCTTCACTTTGCCTTTGTCGTGGTACTTGTTAGAAAGTGCGTAGAAGACACGCTGCAGTACAAGCAATCGCTTCCGTAGCGCCCCAGCAAATGGAGAATCTGAACAGACCATCTTTGCAAGAGCCAGCTGGCTGCTAAGAAGGGCATCCAAATAATGGTCCTGCTCATCACTTGAAAGAGACTCACGTTCAAAGTCGGGCAACTGTGGTCCTTTGAGGCATAAAACCTGTTGAGGCAAAGGTACTACTTCCTTATTGCTGACCAGTTTAGAATACAAAACAGTAACTCCCTCTCTTGTAGCAATAGATTCACTGTCCTCTGTGATCCAGGAGCTGTTGAGATGTTCAAGCCATTTCAGTTTCACTGGTGGAACCATAGTCGCCATGTTGATTTAGTCTTCAGCCATTAGTTCTACAAAAGGAAAGGAGACAGTCAAAAACTAGCACAGATGATGCTTAAAACGTTTCTGAAATTCCATTTTTATATTACATTTAATGACTTCAAAATTGGTGAAATGTAAATGAAGCCTGTGGTGGTTTGAAAGAAAATGGCCCCCAAAGGAGTAAAACTATTAGGAGGTGTGGCCTTGTTGGATTAGGTATGGTTTTGTTGGAGGAAGTGTGTCACTGCGGAGGCAAGCTTTGAGGTCTCATATATGCTAAAGCCACACCCAGTGTTTCAGTTCACTTCCAAGTCAAGATGTAAGAATTCTCAGCAACTTCTCCAGCACGTCTGCCTGCACACTACTATACTCCCAGCCACCATGCTCCCTGCCATGATGATAACAGACTGGGAAACTGTAAGCTGCCACCTCAATTAAACATTGTCCTTATAAGAGTTGCCATGGTCATGGTGTCCCTTCATAACAATAGAAACCCTAACCAAGCATAAGTTTAGCTCATGGCCTATGCCAATGTTGTATCTTACCTTTGATAAATGCACCATGGTTTCATAAGACATTAAATTAGATGGAAATGGATAAAGGTCTGTGGAACTTAAAATTGCAAAACTTTAAAAAGTTAGTTTAGAAAATGGTATTTCATTCTTTCTTTTTAAAAATAGAGCTGAGGGGTATGTTCAGTGGCAGAACGCTTGTCTACTATAATGTGAAGCCCCACATTTGATCCTAAGTGTAGAAGGAAAAAAGGGGTTTCTTTAAAAAAATAAAAAATAAAAAAATTTATTTATTATCTATACAGAAGAGGGTGGCAGATATCATTACAGGTGGTTGTGAGCTACCATGTGGGTGCTGGGAATTGAGCTCAGGACCTCTGAAGAGCAGTCGGTGCTCTTAACCTCTGAGCCATCTCTCCAGCCCCAAAAAAGGGTTTCATAAACATGACAAAATTTTATATGATGATAAACCAGACCAGTGGTGGCACACGCCTTTAATCCCAGCGCTCAAGAAGATAGGAGATCTCTGTGTTTTTTAGACCAGCTTGGTCTACAGAGTGAGTTCCAGGACAGCTGAGCAAGTTCCAGGACAACCAGGGCTACACAGTGAAACCCTGTGTTTAAAAAAAAGAAAAGAAAAGATCAGATAGATAGATAGATAAAGTAGAATATTATTTTAAGGTGTGTTACTTTTATGTATGATGCATTTGTTTAACCCTGTGAAGCTTTGTTACTGTGCCTATGTAAAACACCCGATGGTCTAATAAAGAACTGAACAGCCAATGGCAAGGCAGGAGAAAGGATAGGTGGGGCTGGCAGGAAAGAATATACAGAAGAAATCAGAGAGAAGGAAGAACTAGCCAGAGAAGGAGGAGGACATCAGGGGCCAGCCACTTAGCTACACAGCAAGCCACAGAATAAGAGTAAGATTTATAGAAGTAAGAGAACAGGAAAAGCCCAGAGGCAAAAGGTAGATGGGATAATTTAAGTTAAGGAAAGCCAGAAAGAAACCAAAACAAGCTAAGGCCAGGCATTCATAATTAAGAATAAGCCTCCCTGTGTGATTTACTTGGGAGCTGGGTGGCGGGCCCCCCAGAAAGAGCAGAAATAAACAACTACAATAGACACAGACAGATAGATGGTGACAAAAAGAAACACAAGAAGAATTTTCTTATGTTATATACCTCTTTTCATTCTTAAATTTGTTTCAAGAAAAGGAAAAGCAATTTCAAAAACTAAATCTGACATCACACAAAAGTGAGAGAAGTTGGGTATGGCAGTGCATCCTTCAGTACCAGCACTTAGGAGTCAGAGAAAGGTGGGTCTCTGTGACTTTGAGAACAGACTATCTATATAGAATTTCAGGCTAGCCAGAGCTACACAGTGAGACCCTGTCTTGGGGGGGGGGTGAGAGGATTTAAATATATCTCTAAGTTCTGAAACCCAGTACTACTTCACTGCCCCAAATCCCCCCCTGGAAAAATGAACTCTAAATGCAGTCTATACATGTTCCCACTCTACCAAGGCATTTTTTTTTAAGAGAAGTGTGCCAGCACCTGCCACTGCTTCCTCCCCTAGAACCCTCACTTTAAGGTGATGATCCCTCTTTGTTGCCCATTAGATCAGTTTACCTACTAAACTCCCAAGTAACAAGTTCTCCTCCAATTCAGTCTCCAACTCAGTACAAACCCAGACCTCTGTTTATATGCTGAAAGCCTCAAAGGGCTAATCTGATGTTCAACAACTAACTCCTTACAATCAGAAATTAAAGATCCACATGCCTTTAATCCCAGCACTCGGGAGGCAGCGGCAGGTGGATCTCTGTGAGTTCAAGGCCAGCCTGGTCTACAGAGCGAGTTCCAGGACAGGCTCCAAAGCTACACAGAGAAACCCTGTCTCAGGGAGAGGAAAAAAAAAACAAAAACAAAAAAAAAAAACTTTCACTCAATTTTAACTCCTTAGCATGCAACCTAAATCATCACCAGTGTTTGCTAAATTAGTAATTGCAATTACTTCCCTCATTTAAATCATTTAAGTAACCAAAAGGGTTGTTACTGTCAGTTTCTCTAAACCTTAAGCATTTAGTGGTTAGGAACTATCCCCCCCACCCTTCCACGGAACTGAGGACTGAACCCAGGGCCTTGCACTTGCCTGAGCTAAATCCCCAACCTCCAGGAACTATTTCTTACCTCAACAAAAGTATAAAACATTTTGCCACCAGACTTTGAGAGGGAGGTATAATTCCAAATGCAAAACCAAGGAAGAGGTCACAAACAGCCGGACATAGTGACATGGACCTGTAATCCCAGCACTGAGGAGACAGAAGCAGGGGAACCATATGTTTGAGGCCACCCTGGACTACACAGTACCTTCCAGACCAGCCTAAATTAGGTAAAGAGACCTTGCATAAAAAAAGGAGATCTGAGCCAGGCGGTGGTGGCGCATGCCTTTAATCCCAGTACTCAGGAGGCAGAGGTAGGTGGATCTGCAGCCTGGTCTACCCAGTGAGTTCCAGGACAACTGGGGCTATGCAGAGAAACTCTGTCTCAAAAAAATAAGGTTAAATTAAATTAAAAAATAAATGAATGAGTTGGTTGATAAAATCTATATGACAGAGAATTTAAAAAAACTCAGAAGCGGGACTCTCTCAAGAAGCTTGCACCCATCTTGACTTTACATAGCCTTTCATTGGCATCTCTCTCTCTCTCCCCCTTAATGCTGTGCTTCTTAACAAATTCTAAGTTTATTTCAGAAAGAATAAAAGATTAGAAGTTTTTCAACAACTTACTATAGAAAACAAAATCCTATGGAAAAAGTAGCCAAGACCTGATCTCTTCCCCTGGCTCTCCTTTCAGGGCTACAGCTGTGATTTTTGATTCCTGGAAAGAGTCCCTTTGTATTTAATTTGCATATGCTGTTCTCTCTACTTAAGAACCTGCCTTCACCAAGTCAATATCTAGTGCAAGATCTCAGTTTAAACAGCCCAATACCACAAACTTACTACTCTGTACTAAGTAAGCCAACTTAATCATAAGTTAACTATCACTTCCTCAGGGAAACTATCATTGACCACACCCACACGAGATCAAGTCCATCTTTTAAAACACACAGCAGCCACTACTTTACCTCTGTAACACCTTTCACAGTTTGCAACTGCATACTATTTGTGTAGTTACCTGTTTAATGTGTATTTACAACAAGTGAGAAGTATTCTGTTTAGTTTTTGTCCCTGGTTCCTGACAGTTTCTAAGACCCTAGAAATTTCATAAGTGATATTTTGATTTTTTGATATTCACAATCAAGCCTCTTTCTAACATATCTGAACTTATGCTCAGTTGACTGGGATAATAACACTTAGGTGAGCTCTATTCTGAAGGAAATGGGCCTCAGAGAAACCAAACAAGTGACTGAAGGATTAGAGCTTTCATGCCTACCTCCAGACTTTTGGTGAGTGAAAGGGAGACTGCTACCGAGTAGACACTAGAAACTATTAAATCCTAGAAACTGTTAAACAAAACTGTAGAACAAGAGATAGATTTGTACTGAACATCTGCATAAGTTTTACAGACCAAACCGTATTGGAGGACCCATGCTCAAGTTTTCTATCTACAAACTAAAACTAACATTATCTCATCTACTAAGAAAGCAGGGGAGACAAACAGCCCAATCTCCAAGAACCAGTCTTGGGCACATGACAGAAACCCTTTGCTTTATCCTACACATACAAAGCAGATTTAAAGAACCAATCTACTTTGTTCTTTATTTCTGCTTGCTTCAGCCCTTTTTTGTCCATAAAGCTAATCTCCTCTGCTCAGTTCACTGGAACACTCATTCTAGTACAGAATGAGATGTTGCCTGATTCAGGAATTACATATAAAAGCCAATTAAATCTATAACTTAGTTTACTCTAAATTTTTTCTTTTGACAGAATTATTGATGTTTAACTGCACAAAATCAACACTTAATGTTTGCAATTACCACCATTTAAAAGGAAATGCACAGAAAGGGAAAAGACTTGATGCATTTGCTGCAAATTGTTTTGCTACAACATCAGTAAGAACTAGTCAACAAAGCAAGAAGCCAATGTGCTTATTCAGCACATAAAGAACTATAGACAACTATAGACAAAAGAAAATCAAACCAATGGGGTTTTATTCTAGAACCACTAATTCACAATCCTGATGAACCAGCTAAATCCTGGAAAACTGCTGTTATTTTTTTTATATAGTCATGATTTATCCTACTAAAAGTCCATTTGTCTTTTTTTCCCTTTCTAATCCAATGCACAGATCCAAATATAATTATGTAACTTATCAAATCTACCAACAAAAAGTAGAATTGGAGAAACCACCAAAAGACTAGAGGTTTAAAAAAAAAAAAAACAAATAGTACTATCAATATTTTCCTGAAACCAAAATAAAGGAAAAAGGGGGGTGGGGCTAAAAGACTTGAGCTGAGGATTCCTACAAGTGAGTCTTTAAATGGTTCTTCCAGGTGAATTTGCCCAATTCTGAAGC